GCCTTCGCCTTCGCCTTCGCCTTCGCCTTCGCCTTCGCCTTCGCCTTCGCCTTCGCCTTCGCCTTCGCCTTCGCCTTCGCCTTCGCCTTCGCCTTCGCCTTCGCCTTCGCCTTCGCCTTCGCCTTCGCCTTCGCCTTCGCCTTCGCCTTCGCCTTCGCCTTCGCCTTCGCCTTCGCCTTCGCCTTCGCCTTCGCCTTCGCCTTCGCCTTCGCCTTCGCCTTCGCCTTCGCCTTCGCCTTCGCCTTCGCCTTCGCCTTCGCCTTCGCCTTCGCCTTCGCCTTCGCCTTCGCCTTCGCCTTCGCCTTCGCCTTCGCCTTCGCCTTCGCCTTCGCCTTCGCCTTCGCCTTCGCCTTCGCCTTCGCCTTCGCCTTCGCCTTCGCCTTCGCCTTCGCCTTCGCCTTCGCCTTCGCCTTCGCCTTCGCCTTCGCCTTCGCCTTCGCCTTCGCCTTCGCCTTCGCCTTCGCCTTCGCCTTCGCCTTCGCCTTCGCCTTCGCCTTCGCCTTCGCCTTCGCGCAGATATATAGGGTCCGTAGACACGAGTCGTACTACCGTCCCCTGTGTCAATGTTTCCGATCGAACACGATCGAGTTGAACGCGGCTTGTGGCAAACTCGATTGCAAACGCCTTCTCGGCGACCTCGTTCCAGCGACCAAATCGAAATTGAACAGAGGCGCGCCAGCTGGTTCTTTCTTAACCTTGTTCGAACTATGTATTAAAACTGGCACGCGGCAACTAGCTCGTTCACGAAAATTTCTTGTTCAGTCCCCCCGTCGCGCCGGCTCGTTGAAACTTAGCGCGCGAGAACAAAGCGGATCGATTAACGGGGTTCGTTAATCCGAGCGTCGCACGTATCGTCACGAGGCTCGAGGAGCACCGATATAAATAGCAGCGTCCGTCGTGCTGTTTGATAACGACCGCGTCGCTGCCGCCACTTCGTCTCTCCATCGACGAATCAATCTTTCGCTAACGCGCGTTTCAGCTCACAGCGATACCAGCGAGAATAATGGCTCGCCGTGGTGTGGATCGATATATACGAGATAGATATGTACCTATTATTAGATCGGCTCACGTTGCTCAGGATGATTATCAGTCGCAGCAGCAGCATTATCGTTTTCGTCCACAATCGCATACTCTTTACCGGTGTACATATATCGATATACGTACGAACGGCGCAGTGGCTAACTTTTGAAAAGTTAAGCGACGCACGCGCATGCATCGCATCGTGTTATCGATGGAAAAGAATGAAAACCGATCACGGAATCGCACAGCAGGTATCCATACCTAACGTTACGAACACTATTCGCAGTTGAAGAGTCCGATTCGACGTAAGCTCGCCAATATGCGCGCATGCATAATACCAAGCATAACCGAGTAGTTTATTTATAACGTCGCGGAAATACACTCGACGCCTTTATTGTAAAAGGTTGTGTAACGCTGGTTGTGTGTTACATAACCACGAGAGAGGAGGTACGTTCATGAACGAACGCGGCGAATAGGCGCGTTTCGACGCACGTATATATGTACATCCATATGTAAGTACTAGACATGTATAGTACTGTCGCGTTATCTAGTCGCGGCTCGGGACCACATCTGGCCAGCAATCAAGGGTGGTAGTGTTCTAGGAAATCCCGAATATGTTTCTTCTCCATTGAATGTGAGTGTAATACGGATACCTGACATGAAATATCGAGGTCCATGTTTAAATACGTAATGCTGGAGGTTCACTCCATGAAGCCAGTTCCAAGAACTGGTGGAGATAACGATGGTCAACTAACGCGACAGTTCTGTATATACATACGCCCGATAGGGAACCTCCGACCGATCGTCCGAACCAGGTGTGCCCCCATCGCAACGGTTTGCTCATTAAAAACAATATCTACGAACATATCGCGCGAAATTGTCTCGGAAAAACCTGTGTTTCGATTGTTTTTCATCGAGCGTCAATTCAAATAGGAATATGATGGCGATAATCGGCAGCAGAGTGAATCGAGTTCTGTCAATGTCGTACTACAAATTCTGCTGGTCAAGCGCGAAAGCCGTATCAAAGAAATCGCGTTGGAACAGCAGCAGCAGCTTGTCGACGAGCTCGGGAAAAAGGATAGGGAAAAAAGTGTTACGTCTTGGGGGCGTGTTAACGGGGATGATCGGTGGCTGCGCCATGGTCCTCCACTTTCTCGACGAATCATCCGTGAAAGCGCTCGAGGGCGTGGAAATCGAATTACCAAGCTACCCCTGGGGATTCCACGGTGTATTAAAAGCTTTCGACCACTCCGCTCTGAGAAGAGGATGGCTGGTTTACCGAACCGTGTGCCACACGTGTCACAGTCTGCGATACGTGAAGTTCCTCGATCTGGTCGAAACGACGCACTCTGTGGAAGAGGCCACAGCGACCGCATCCGAGTTCGAGGTTTCGAACACGTTTCTTCGCGTTTTACTTTTGTCATTTCTCGGACTGTGTAATAACACCATGCCCCTTTCGCCCTTGATCACCGTAATTCAAAGAGACGATACGATTTCGATCAGGTGGAGGACGGTCCCGACGACGAAGGGAACATGTATACGAGATCATGCAAATTGACCGACCGTGTCCCGGATCCGTATCCGAACGAGCAAGCGGCCAGAGCGGCCAACTCTGGCGCTTATCCGCCGGATCTCTCGAACGTCGTTTTCTCACGGTACCAAGGCATCGATTTCCTCTTCTCACTGCTCACGGGATGGATGGAACCACCGGCAGGAATCCAAGTAGCCGAAGGACAATACTTCAACGTCTATTTCCCCGGAGGATTCGTCTCGATGCCAAGCGTGAGTGTTTCTGGAAGAGATGGAGCAACTGGAGAGAACTGAATCAACCCAACCGCGCTTTTCTTATCTCTCCTTGTCTTCCGCTTTTGCAGATGTTGTTCTCAGGCATGCTCGAGTACGACGACGGTACGCCTGCCACCGAGTCACAAATGGCAAAAGACGTGGTAGAGTTTCTCACGTGGACGGCAGCACAAGAGCACGACATGCGAAAAATTATGACGTTGAAAGGAATTGGGCTGATGCTTATTCTACTAGTGCCGATCGCGCACATCTATAGGCGGTACTGGTCGCATTTAAGAAGTCGGCGCATAGCTTATGTACCTAATTACACGACTGGCGTACCACGATCTTCGAAATCTCCTGCAGGAAGTAAGAAAGGCGACTCGTTACCCAGTCGATAGACGCTAAGCCCGCCCTCCGCGTTTTACCTATTCACATCTTCACGTCGAGAATCAGGAGCAGAATCGTTAATTAGGAAGAATCGAGGAGTAACCGATACGATTCGATTCAGATGGTAGCGCGGGCGCAACAAGTGCCACCGATAATTGTTTCGCAACGCGCGGCCTTGACGGTGCCCGTATACTCGATCGGGCCGTCTAAAAATAGAAACCTCGAGAAACCGTGCAACAAACGTTACATCGCTTCTCTCTCTCTCTCTCTCTCTCTCTCTCTCTCGTTCTCCGTCTTTTTCCCACCGGTCAATCGATGGCTTCGACGTTCGAGACGTTCGAGACGACCAGCGACAAGAGACGATTGACGGATCAAGGATCGCGAATGACGAATGACGACGGTCGCTGATCTACGATCTATTTTTGGTACCCGAAAGGTCCCCGCTGCGTTTCAAAATGTATTTTTACCTGTTTCTTCTCTGTCCGTATCGCGCTACTACACCCCACCATCTTTCTCACCAAGTTTTTCCCTCTCTTGACTGCACCCCATCCTCCGTACTATCCAGTAAATTGCTCTCGTACCGAAATAGCCGCAACTTGTCTGAAATATTAACTAACAGTTTCTTCCCTCGCTTTTTCTCTCCTTTTTAAATCACCCTACCACCTAACCCTCTTTCCTCGTTGCCCTTTCTACATCACCACATGTTCTCTCTGTTTCTCTTCACGAATTACGTGTCGCGTCTACTCTGGTCTAGTCTGGTCTGGTCCGGTAGCGTCACGTCGATGATCTATGTGCACGTACGACTCGTCTCGCTGCTCAATGGCAACAAGTGCGACGTAGAGGAGAAGGGGTGACACGGATCGAAAATATATACCAAACGATGAATGAACCTCCGTCGCGTTGACGTTGAGAACGCGCCAGTGATTTCGCGATCAACCGTAAGAAACGAAACGGTCGTTATCGAAGAGACTGCGACCACGCTGAATCATGATCGTTTGAAATCCGTCTCGAATGTTTCGCGATTCAAATTGCCCTGTGCGTGCCTCCTAGCTTCGAAGCCTCTTTTAGCGATGACGTCGCCGCTGCTGATCGACGAAAGCGAACTATCGTCCGCTTAGTGGACGTTGTCGCGAATAAATAGGATGTTCGTCGCGAATCGACGAACAAACACAACTAGCACAGACCTAGTAGTTGTCGATGGGAATTGAAAAGCAGATCGCTCGTCGCGACGATCCAAAGTTATTTTTGGTAACGATAGACGATAATGAGCTGTCGTTCGTGGCCATGATCGTGGTCGTGATCGTTTTCCGATACTCACGTCACGGTGACTTTACGATCTTCGGTTCCCACGCTGCTAGAATACCGTCAACCGCAACCGTGGATCGTGTCCATGATGACCTCGGGAGGCCACCTACTTCTGCCTCCTTTCCCTTTCCCTGTCTCTCCCCCTTTCCCTTCTTTAAGATGTCGAAGATTCACCAACGATCAGCGAGAAGAAGGATAAAAATGAAGCACGCCGCGAACACTTACCTTTGGTCGCGACGGCGCTAGCTCGCGCTTGCTCGCTGGACATTCTGTTTCCTCCAACATTCACCGAACCCTGCATTTACCGTCAACGCTGCAACCTCGTAACTCTCTTCTCTACTGCTCGCATACGTTTCCTGCAACGCGAACAAGCAATTTTTTCTACAGCTTTGCCGCGCACACTCTACGAAACGCGTTCGCGTTAGATTGCGAAATTGCAAACTGCTGCAACCGGAAGTCAAATCCCCTCGGGACTACGTGATGCGCAAACCGTCGCGCGCCTTTTTGGCAACCACTGTTAACGGAAAATCCGCGTTTCTCATCGGGTTGGATTTATTCTGGCATCATGCGTCGCGTGTCGCGTGGCGAGTGTCGCGTGCCGAGCGCAGAATGTCGTCGAACGAAACAACCGTTCGAGGATTGTGCTAGTTTCCTGGTATACGCACAATTTATTTACAACGACGATCCTTCAAACGGTTATCACGCCCGCAGGATAAGCTTGTGCTTCGTCACCGATCAATCGGAAAGATCGCGTGCATTGTATAACCCGTCTGTTCAAAAATCATTATTAAATAAACAACGAACATCGAAGTACGAGCTCCACCATTGGACGACTCGTACACACGCGACGCGTCCGCCTCGTGTACATGCACCTATACACATATGCAACATGCACAAGCGGCAATTACCGTAGTAAAATCCAAATGGCACGATTTATCGAATTATGAATCACGGAGAATAGAATCCTTTTGTAATTCGAGCCATGAGAACCATTTACGTGAGAACAGCTGACAGAACGCGTCGCGGGCAACAAGGTATTGCCAATTTGATCGATCGTTTGCTTGCTCAAGCACAAAAGGGAGTTGGAGAAAACGGGAAAACAAAAAGGTATCATTTTTGTTTTCCGAAATCGAGCTTCGTGTGTCTGACAATGGTGACAATATTTGTGTCCCGTGTCTAATCCCGTATCAGCGTCCGTAACGACGGCAACGATGACGCCGATGATCGTGATGAGGAATCATGATGATGATGATGATAATGATGATGATGGTGGTTGTGGTAGTGGTGGAGGTGGAGGTTGTGGTGGTGGAGGTGGTGGTGGTGGAGGTGGTGGTGGAGATGGTGGTGGTGGAGGTGGTGGTGGAGGTGGTGGTGGTGGTGGTGGTGGCGGCGATTCAGAGCAGCTTCGAGCTTGGCTCAGTTTCGCGCGCGCGGTCCAACCTTGCTCGGTCGTAGTAGCAGTGAGGATAGCGGTAGAAGTGGTGGTATTAGCGGTAACAGATCGAAAGTCCCGAAAGCGGTTACTCGCTGTCGTCGTTGAAGCACTTCCATCTCCCGAAATGGAAGATCTAACTTTCCGATGCGTCCACTCGAACCGCATAGATCATAACAAGGAACGTCGCAGACTCGATGTCGAATTGGTACCGTGTATAAACATTCGTTAAATGCGCAAACTTTTAGATAGAGTCTGATCGCACGACACGTGGCAAAAATGCGACGCGTAGATTCGTGGAGTGTTGCTACGTGTATGTGTGTGTGCGTGCGTAGTGCTGCGCGCGAGCGCGCGTACCAG